AAGAATATGTACAATCAAAAAGGTTTGATATTTTTGCCTGGGTAGAAACCTCAGGCCCGGAAACAGACCTATCAGAAGAAAGGATGAAGACCAGGCCAGGCCCCATGGCTCACCCTGTAATCCCAGCACTCTGGGAGGCGGAGGCGGGCGGATCACCTAAGGTCAGGAGTTTGAGACCGGCCTGGCTAACATGGTGAAACTGCGTCTCTACTAAAAATACAAAACTTAGCCAGGCGTGGTGGCAGGTGCCTGTAATCCCAGCTACTCAGGATGCTGAGGCAGGAGAATCGCTGGAACCTGGGAGGTGGGGGTTGCAGTGAGCCAAGATAGCACCATTGCACTCCAGCCTGGGTGACAGAGCAAGACTCCATCTCAAAAAACAAACAAACAACAACAACAAAAAAACACAGTGAGCAGCAAGAACTCACTCACAACTCATCTACCCTGTGCAGTTCCATGCACGGAGCTGAGAAAATGGCTGTGGACTCCCCGCCCAAGATTAGGGAGCTGACTCGCTGCAGGGTCCAGGCCGCTGGCAAGGACATGAATGTTGGATTTTCTTAGAGTCCTTCATAAGTACATGTGCCTGTTAGTCTTCTCCTTTAGGGCTACATGGGGCTAGATTATTGATATCAAAGAAAGTATTCATGTGTAAACCCATCTCTCAATGATTCCAAAAACACCTGAGCTAGGTGGAGGTCCACATGTGTCTGGGTGTGTGTAGGAGGTGGTATTCTTTGGGCTTGTAGAGCAGGCCAAGATCAGGAAGCAGCTCAGGGGATTAAAAAACGTGGGCGTCAGCTTCAGAAACACCCAAGGGAACCACACTCCACCCTTTACAGGCTGCATGGCCGTGGGGGTGTTATTTAGTCTCTGAGTCTCTGAGATGCAATTTCCCCATCTGTACAAAAGAGGGTGTCACTTCCTCTGATCTCACACATTGTCTAGGGACTACCCCCAGACGGTTACCAGCACCCCCTGAGCTGGTTATTGATCCCTCCTACGCACCAGGCCCTGGTTTCGGGGCTTTGCTTGGATGCTGTCATGGGAGCCACTCAACAAGCTTAGGAAGTGAGACTCTCCCCAACCCGCGAGTCAGGCACTGAGCTTCCTCCAGCAAGAAAGAGCAGAGCCAGGGTGCAAACACAGCATTCGGATTTCAGGGCCCTCCAGGCCAGCCAAAACGCGGCTCTTCTTCCCGCATAGTCTGTGAGCAAATGTTCCATTTCTTTCTTATTCCTGTCTCTTAAGGCCTTCACAGACACCTCTTGAGGGGACCCAAGACTAACCTTTCAAATGGGTGCCTCCTGTAGACTATTTGGTCACAAAGTCCTGGGCATCAGAGCCACGATTCTTCTTCTTCTTCTAGGGAAAGCAGAAGGCACGTGGGAAGGATTAGGACTGTTTCCATCAGGCCCTGACTATGAGCACACGTGAAAAGACAGTCACTTGCTACTGAGTAGAAGGTGCTCTTCAAGAGAGATTCTTGAAGCCTACATTCCTGACAACCCCCGACAGACACCCTGGCCAACCTCGGAGTCCATCTCAGAGTCCAGTCTCCCCTGTCACACGACCCTTCCTTCTCACACAGAGTCAGGGCCAAACAGCTCAGCACCTCATCACACTCAGGTGTGTTTTGCCAAAACTCACGCTGATATAGCACAAGAGTGCCCTGTCACTTGCGATACTGGGGCTACGATGACTGCAAAGATGAGTCAGACACAGACACAGCTTCTTTCAAAAGTTTTCAAATTGAGTAGACAACGATAATGTGAATTCCACAAAGAGATTCAAGAACACAGAGAAAGAGTCCAGTTTAAGGACTGAGAAAAGCCGGGGCATTTAATACAGGCCTTAGACAAGTACTGACTTGTGGGCTGCTCGGGAGGCAGCAGTGGAGACAAGGCTCAAAATAAGACCTGGGGGTGTCCTGGAGCAGGCCCTGACTGCAACTGGGTTGGGTCTGGTGTGGACCATGGGGAACGTGTGAAGATTTTTTCAGTCAAGGTCTGAGCTGTAATTAAGGAACTAATGATTTGGTAGATTAGGGAAGAGGGTGAGTAGAGGTTGGATATCAGTTCACAGGTTGTTTTATTAGTTCACTAAAAGGGCATGAGCTAAGGTCACAACACTGAGAATGGGAAGGAAAGCTCAGAGGCTTCTTAGCTCTGGGGGAAAGAAACCATGTCAAATTCGTGTCATGTTCCTTCCTCTGGCCCCAGAACCCTGGCTAATTCTGCAGCAGGTGCTGAGTTCTAGTAGATTCCTAGTTTGGGAGTGCTTTGCCCCACCCCAGCTGAGAGCTGCTTCTGATGGAAACAGGTTACACACAGATGGTTGGGGACGTAAGAAAGGCTGGGAGTCATCGCATGTCACCTTGAGCATAATACAGAGGGCAGAGAACTCTCGGATGTTAACTTCTAAGAAAAAAAAGTCCTTCTTAAATTTAGTGAGAGTCAATATGCTACTCAAGTGGTTACAAAATAGCAAGTGCTTTTAAGCTCGAAGCAAAAGAGACAAATAAAAATACACGAAAGACTTAACAATAGAATTTAGGTTGCAATGGTAAACAGATTTGGATCAGAATTAAATTTTCAACTTAAAGGCAAATTCTGATTTTGTAAAACCAAGATTATTCTAAAAATAAGCCTTCTGGGAAACTTTAGTCTCAATATTTCCTTGAAAAGTAAGATATACTAAGTTTGAATATTGACTTTGAGTAACACTAAAACTGTATGGTACAAGAAAGGTTCTGGAAGCATCGCTCAGGTCCCCGGTACCCAGCAGCCCATCAGCGGCAGGAGAGCAGAGCAGTGAGGCTCTGTCCAGACTCCAGAGCTCAGCCCTGTCCTGAGTGTTCTCAGCTACAGACACTAATGTGCCTGTTTCATGGGTTGCTATGAGGAGTGAGGGAGGTATTTTTTGTAAAGCAGTTAGAAGGGTGCCTCCACAATGCCGTATAATTATAACTGTAATAACTAGATTTATAAAATGGCATTTGTTTTTCATTAAAAAAAGAAAAAAACCATCATCACTCTTGAACTATCTATTCACCTCAGGTACCAGCAGATGGATGGATACAAAAGGTGATTTTACTTGTTGTTACATGGTTTAAAAAATATTCTTAAACTTTTTAAACTGTACAATGTCATTAATTATCTGCTGTGGTTTCTATACTATCCTACCATGTCAAAGTGTATTTGGACACCAATAAGCTTGGATAAAAATACATTGGTGGAAAATTGGCTCAAAATAGGTTGGTAACCCTAATAAGCAGTTTATGTAGTCTGGATGAGGTACCCACTAGGTAATAAGTCTATTTTTACTTGACATCAGTACCAATTATCAAGGAAAGGTATATTCAGACACAAATAAAACTTAGTGCCGATGCTGAATTTAGAAGTAAAGTTAATTTCAATAAAAACTGGATGTGGAAAAAGTGAGTACCGAAGGCATAGTCATTCCAAGGTTTGTTGGTCAGTGAAAAAGTTCCATTCCAAAAACCTCAGGAAATGGAGAGGATGAGGAGCAAAGGTGGAAGAAACAAAAACGTATCAAACCCATGCTATACTAGGGCAGGGCACCAGCCACCCTAACTGATGGGCACGTCAGACAGGTCCCTGGTGGGCCCAAAGGTTTGCATGGCATCTTGCCTATATGTGCATCTTGCCAGTTGAACATCCTAGATGTTCAGTAAAGTTACTTGGGCATTGCACATCTGTTTCTGTGTTAATTATATAATCCACAATCATTTGGATGGAGACAACAAGAAGGAGGCCAAGAAGCCAGTCAGGAGGCTGCAGTCATTCAGGGAGGCATGTCCCAGGCCACGGTAACCATGGGAATGGAGAGAAATACACAGGTTCCAGAGGTAATTAGGGGATATCATGTACAGAACATGGAGGTAAATTAAACATGAGATGGGGGATTGCGGGAGAGGAAGGAAACAAAGAAGATGCGCGGGGGCTGGCGGAGGCCGTTCCAGGGCATCCTTCCCCAGGAGGATCGCTGATGGTGAGGCGAGGTGCAGGGAGATGAGATTAGTTTAGGGGTGGGAAGATCCAGGTGGAAACATCTAGTACACAGATGGACATACGGTTCTGCAGCTTAGGAAAGATACCTTTGCCAAAGAGGCAGATGAGGAAGTTGGAATATGAACATCTGGTAATTAAGGCGATGAGAGTAGATGAAGATTTCATTGTAAGAAGTTATTACAGAGAGTGGGCTAGGTTATTCACCATACTCAGTCTGTAGTCTAAGAGTCTCCTACACAAAGACTTGTATAGATATCTGGACCAAGCTGAGTATTAGATAATTCTAATAGATTCGAGTTATCTAATAATTAGATTCGGTGCCCAGAGCAGACCAAGCCAGGTGAGCACAGTATTTAGAATGCTGAATTCTGTTTTAAGGAGGCATATTTCTCCTGAATGAATATTACTATATATTCTCCAGAACTTTATATGTTTATAGGTTATATGTCTGTATGTATGTGCACATAAGACAATGAATTAATTCATTTTATAATGGATACAACAATTTAATAATAAACAGTTGTGCTGAAAATACTCTATTAAACAACAAATACATTATTTTTAAAATGTAAACTGCCCAAAAAAGCATTTTAAGGCCAGGTGCAGTGGCTCACGCCTGTAATCCCAGCACTATGAGAGGCCGAGGTGGGTGGATCACGAGGTCGGGGTTTGAGACCAGCCTGACTAACATGGTGAAATTCTGTCTCTACTAAAATTACAAAATTAGCCAGGCATGGTGGTGTACACCTGTAATCCCAGCTGCTTGGGAGGCTGCGGCAGGAGAATCACTTGAACCCGGGAGGTGGAGGTGGCAGTGAGCTGAGATCGCACCATTGCACTCCAGTTTGGGCAACAAGAGTGAAACTCTGCCTCAAAATAAATAAATAAATAAATAAATACATACAAATAAATAAATTTTTTAAAAAATGCATTTTAAGTAATTTAATACGCACACAAGATTTGTAGTCTGTGAGAAAAGGAATGAGAAAGAACCTTATTTAAGGTTAAGGTGACTCTAGCATCTGATCTTCAAAAGACAGGCAGACAGGAGGAAAAGAGGAAGAGTAAGAAGCCGTGGTCACCTGGGCATTGAGTCTGGAGTGGAGCTTGTGGTCTGACAACCAGGGGTGCTTGAGCGCTTCGCTTGCACTTATTCGCCAACTAGAGGGAAATTCAGACGGTGATTAGTAGAAACACACCAAAGAAGGCCTGCATCTGCTGTTTAATTTCAGCTCCAGCCCCTGCCTTTGGGAGACCAGATGGCCGAATGTCAAGCTCATGGTCAATTCTGCCTTCTCTTGAATTGTGTGCTATCAGTGATGGCATAGGTGACTATCAAATCCAATCAGGAAAACATTAGTAAAGACAAACAAGGCAAATAATGAAAATCCTTGTTAATAACTGAACACTTACTTTCAAATATAAGTAACCATTTCTGTAGTATAACATTTGAACTTAGTAAAGTGGATTCCTATCAGTCAGTTGAAAGATAAATATATATTTATTATTGTAAGAGCAAAATGCCACAATGGTTCTTGATGATTGCCAAAGCAGTTTACGTATTAAAACTTTTGAATAATAAATATTACTAACTTTTGAATTAAGAAGTTTTGGGTTAAATAGGTAGGGAAATAGAGTCGATGTAATTATTAAGAGAGGGACCATTAGATACTTTTACAAAGAAACAATATCCTTTTGGAGCTAACAAAGGTTTATACAATTTTGGGAAATAATATAAAGAAGAATAATATAGATTTACTATATTCGAATTCTAAGCTCTATAAATTTGTTTGATGTGCTAAGATTTATCACGTTAAAACAAATAACCTTTCAAAATAAAAACTGTAGGCCAGGCTCAATGGCTCACACCTGTAATCCCAGCACTTTGGGAGGCTGAGGCGGGCGGATCATGAAGTCAGGAATTCAAGACCAGTCTGGTCAACATAGTGAAACTCCGTCTCTACTAAAAATACAAAAAATTAGCTGGGTGTGGTGGGGCACACCTGTAATCCCAGCTACTTGGGAAGCTGAGGTGGGAGAACCCAGGAGGTGGAGGTTGCAGTGAGCCAAGATCGTGCCATTACACTCCAGCCTAGGTGACACTGTGAGATTCCGTCTCAAAAAAAAAAAAAAAAAAAATTTTTAAGTGAATGCAACAGTCTGAAGTCAAAGAGGTAGTTCCAAGCAGTAATGAAGCTTCAGTGTGTAGGATTGCTTCAATGCAATCGCTTCATCAGATACCAAAATATTTAAGTATAAGATTTGAAAAGGAGATAAGTCTTTATTACAGTCAATGAACTTGGTGACAACATCACCATTATAGTGCCAAAAACAGGCAGAGGTAATTTTTAAAAATCTCTTGACTTCCACCAACCGCAGTTGGAAGTGTGGTTCTGCTTTAGTGTCAAACATTTTCAGCTCTGGATCTCCAGAGCCTTCCAATGGCTGACCAAGGTGAAAAATGATGATTCTGTACTCTAGGGTCGAACTTCTTAAATCTGGCTATTAAAAAGTTAGCAATAACATTGTACTAATAATTAAACTTTTAATAACATTTCAAGTTTATTTTTGTACCCCAGAAATTTATTCTATGATAGTGGTGTTTGGCTTTTGGCTTTAGTTTCATCCAAGCATTGACTGGAATTCTAAGCTTGTTGCCATCGGCCCAGATGGGTATCTGATGCTCCTTGGGCATTCATGAAGCCCTCAGACTGAAGGAGTGAGCAGCACTGGAGCCCACTGGGTCCACCTCTGCATCTGCTCTGAGCTGGCCATGTGAATGCAGCACTGCTCTCAGCCTCAGTTTCCCCATCTGTAAAATGATGGTCTCCACAGGCCACAGGATTATCCAGAAGCCAAATAAGATAACACACAAAAGTACACGTGTAAAACAGGTTCGCAGTAAATGTGGATTTCTCGTCCTCCGAAGATTTGAAAGCGTTGACAGTTTCCATCTGTTCACTGCCTTGGGAAGGGTAATGTGCTAATAATAATAACCCTGGCTGTTATTGTGCTTTTCCATCAAGGTTATTATTATTATTAATCCACTATTTGTGAATTGTCCCTCTTGTCTGACTGATACTCCTAGCCTGGCTAGGTTCTATTCATTCTCTAGGGACTCAGTTCTGGCCTTATCTTTGTGTTAACCACATTTTATTACATCTTTTAAAAAAATACCTATCCTTTTTATTAGATGGTGAGTTGCTGTAGGTAGGGACTGGATGTGCATCTATTCTTAACACATGACACATTTCCTGGCACACAGTAGGTGATTGACACTTGAATGAAGGCATCTCTTGCCAGGCTCTGTGCCAGACCCCCTGCCTACACTGTTTCCCCACTCCCTGTGACACCCTCCTACCTGTTGATCCATGGCCATGTGTATTGTGACTTTAAAGCCATAAAGATAATAAAACGGTAAGACAAGTGCTGTTGGTCCTGAAAGTCTTAACAGATTCAATCATTATATGGCTCAGGTAGAAAGCCATCTGAAACAGAGTGTTTGATGGGTTAATCACAATGCCCTTCTCCCTCTCTGATTCTAAAACGTAAATCCCTATATTCCAGTGTCACTCTTTTTCATCCACTGAATTTTGAATTAATGTGGTTTTAGCATAACAGAAAATAGAGGCCCATGTAATAGATAACAGCCAAGTGTGTGGCTGTCGGGGAAGGAGAACTATCTGTTTGAGCCTCCATTCTGCCAATTACTGGTGGTGTGATCATGGGCAAACCACCATAGTAGGTTCTCAAATGAAGTGGTAGTTAAAGATTCAGCTACACAGAACCATATACAGCTTTGTAGAGGTGAAAGGAATCCTAGAAATACTTCTCCTAAGTCCTTCATTTTGACAGTGAGTCAACTGAGGCCCAGCAGGAGCCCATGATTGGTACAGCTGCGTGAAAAATGGCAGGAGGAGAAAGGTTTGTGTAGCTTGATGACCAAAGCAGTCCCAGACTGCAGTAGAGAGGGTCAAGAGGATCAAACCTCATTCTATCTGTGACTTTGCACGAGCATCACAGATGTTAGTGAGGGAATAAATTCTAACAGCCTTGGTGGTACGCCCTGCTTCCTGATCATCCCTACCGTGCCCAGAGCACAGGACGAACTTGGGTTACCTCTTCTCCTTAATCAGAAGCTTGGAGATGAACTCCTTGGCCTCCTCTGAGATGTCCTGAAATTCTTCATCCTCTAAGTCCCACCTGCAGGCCAGGATGTTGTTCAGCGTCTCGGCATCATTGTCACCCAGGAAAGGGGACAAACCGCTAAGTCTGGAGGACACAGGGTCCAGAGTGAGTATTTTTTAAACAGCCTCAATCCCTTTCCATACAGATTGCTTTTCTGGTTCTGCCATTCAAAGGTGAGAGAAGGAAAATAACGTAATCCGAAAGCATAATTTTATAATATATTATTGCAATCAAGAAAATGCTTGCCACTCCCACCCAACTCCTAATTAAACAACTGTGGCAATAAAGACAGCAGCAACAGAATATGAATATGAATATCAGCTTCCTTTTTAAATCACTTTACAGTTCGCAAAGTGCTACTACATGCTCAGATGGCAAACGCCAGGCAGGTCATCTCTGAGAGGTGGGGCTAGCCTGAGTCACTTAGCAGATCAGGATATGAGCTTTTTTTTTTTTTTTTTTTTTTGAGACGCAGTCTCGCTCTGTCACCAGGCTGGAGTGCAATGGCGTGATCTTGGCTCACTGCAACCTCCGCCTCCCGGGTTCAAGCGACTCTCCTGCCTCAGCCTCCCGAGTAGCTAAGATTAGAGGCACACACCACCAAACCTGGCTAATTTTTGTATTTTTAGTAGAGACGGGGTTTCACCATGTTGGCAAAGAGGGTCTCGATCTCTTGACCTCGTGATCTGCCCGCTTCAGCCTCCCAAAGTGCTGGGATTACAGGCATGAGCCACCGCGCCGGGCCATGTAAGCTCTTTAAATTATTTTTTGGTTTTTAGGTTGTGTCCTAGGAGTTACACTGATTAATGAAGAGGACACACATTTACTTTTCCAAATGATGTGCAGGGAAAGAATTCAGTCCTTTCACCCACAGGATTCAACAGAACCTAGAAAGCAACTGAGGATGGGACAGTGTTATTTATTTTTTACGGACCTCAACTGGGGCTTTTATTTAAAATGGCAAAACCTCAGAAAATAAGCATGGAGATGGAGAAGGGTCAGAGACGGGGAGAGCTACTCACAGCATATAGGCGATGACCCCCACACTCCACATGTCGGTTGGAAAGGAAACAAAGTCATAGTTAACAACTTCAGGGGCGAGAAATTCTGGGGTTCCAAAGTTCACCTTCAGCTTCTCTCTGGGTTTGTATCTGCGATTTAAGAGACAAAGTGGGAGGATGGAAGTGTCAATCAAAAATCATGAACACTGAAATAATGCAGTCTATGAGACAAAGTAACTTCAGCCCTACAGCAAACTTCAACTAAACAAACATTAAAGGAACCCAAACAACGAAGAAAGAGTGTCAAAAACTTGTACAGCGGTCCCAGAAAATTTAAAAGTCAAAATTCATGCTGGGAAACCTTAATAGGTTGAACCAGTTGTGGGAGAAGCCGCTGTGAATAATTAGAACATCTGAATTATAGAAGATGACAAGAGGAAACCTGATACAGTCATTGACACGGGGATGACTGGAGTAAGCCTGTATTAATGAATAAACAGAGTACTGCAATAATTTACAACATCCATTTTATACACATCGTCGATGTGCTGAATTGTCCACGTAAACTCTTTGTTCCCTGAAGAATCTTACATGTGCCAGAACCCTCTGCAATCTTGCTTACATTGTTAATATTTTTAAAGTAAATCTTCTCTGTACAGATGGAACAAATATGAAAGATGAGGACAAACACTTGCAAATGCTAAATTAATGGCTTCTAATTTAATAAACTTCACTGCATTAGGTTTTAACTTTTTATACTTTTTACTGCATGCATTATAGAAACTTCTAAACACTCAAGTCTCAAATTTAGCAAGTTAAGGCCAAACATAATAATTTCTGTTAAATTAATTATAAATGAGATCATGAAACCAAGGAGCAGATCAGATATATGTTTGCAAAGAAAGGGCACCCATCATGTCCCCTACCTCCGTTCGTACACCTACGTCCAAATAGACATACCTTCTGGCCAATCCAAAATCAATAATTTTTATTTGCTTAGCATCCCGATTCACACACAGGATATTCTCAGGCTGCCAGGAGAAAGAGACACATTAGCAATGAAAACAACCATCATTCACTCAAATTGTCCTTGAACCACAACTAAAAATACAACGACGCTCAGAAAAAACGTATCAGGCCTCTCACTTCGGGGGGGCGGGCTTGTCCATATGGGCACTTTCTCCTTTAATTATGTGGTGGATGAGGTTGCGGGTATCCTGCCAACCCTGCATTACCCAGTCCTCTCCACGGCTTCACCGTTCACCCTGATGCCTGAGTTCAGGCAGAGGCCTTGAAGGGAGCAAGAAGAGGAGGCTGCTTCAGTCCTTCCCAAATGCACTGTGGAGGCCCGCTCAGACCCGACATCTGCCCCTCTAAATTATTGAGTATGAATTTCCCCTTCTTGGAGAAATAGTTTTCCCAAGATTTATGAGTTCCAAGAGAACTGACCTGCTCCATTTAAACAGCCACACTGAACATGCACTGTACTGTGAACGTTCCGGCCTCCAGAGCTTCCCTTTGCTCAGTGCTTACGGGAAAGTCGCACGGGAGACGAGGGCTTTTCTCTCCAGTCATTCTTCGGTCTCGGCAGTTCTGAGGTTTTGCTGAGTTTGGTCTCAATGCCTAAATCCCCTGACTAAGTGTTCCCTTGAAGCTAGGCCCTGGTAAGGCCTTAGCCTGCTAACCTGACAGCCTTGGGGTGTAGGGGAGACAAGTAGGTTGTAGCGCAGTCTCAGTGCTCACAGAATGTCCGACCAGTGCACCTGATGTTTATTGGGGTCGAAAAACGGAGGTCTGGGGAAAGTAAGTGATTTGATTTAAAGTCAAGACCATTTATAAAAGAGAAAAAAAGTTTTCAAAGAGTTAAGAACCCTCAGTCCCAACTCTTTATGAGCTGGAGGGCACCAGCCCAGAAGGCGAATGCCCAGGATCTCATTCCTCAGCCTTTAGTGGGAGCAGGCTCCCCCTCCCCAACCTGTCCGGATGGAGAAGAGGTTCCAATGAGATCAGAAATTCAGAGACACATTATGAAATGACACAGCGTCTCCTTATCAATATTCAATAGTACATTTGGTTGGGTAGAATATCTTTGGAAGGCCTTTTCTAAAATATCTCTAAAACAGATGTTTGTAAGTCAAAGTCATTATAGAGAAGGGGTGTTATGTGAAACATTTGGTTTCGTGCTTAAATAACTGATTGATCATGTATAAAGCTGTCCAATTGTGAAGGAGTACTGCGGCATCAAAAAGTTTGCAGGATATAGAGAAACCGTTTTGAGGGCATTTCAAAAAGTTAGCCTTTTTATGATGATAAAATTAAAGAATGTTCATTGGATAAAATTTGCAAAACAGAAAAATATGAAACAGACTGTTTGTAAGTCACCTACAATCTCCTCCCACATAGTGACAATCATTCTTAATATTTTTGGCCCTTTTCCTTCCAAGGATCTTTCAGAAAAGCAGCTCCTTAATGACCCATCCAGCTGTCACCTTTTTTATGATCTTTGCATCCAAGCCATAACTAAAATTGCCCGCTGCAGGTCCTCAATCAATGTTATGAAGCCCCATATGGAGTCATTTGACTTACAATAGGTTTGCTCTTAGTTCCAGTTGCCAATCAAATCCCGTTAGGGATATCTGCAGAATATCTACAGTCAATGAAAATGCTCCGTGAAAGCATGTATTATCAAACCCAGCTCATAGCCAGGCTTTTGCTAATGATTTTTAACCTCTGACTTTGTCATTTTATAAACCACTTCCTCCTGCTCTCCTCCTGCTCAAAAGTGAATGGGAAAGGCAAGGCACATAAATCAAGACAGTGAGGGAAGCCAAGTTATAGGAAGAGAGGCCCATGGAAACCTATTTAAGGAGGCTAAATTTATTTAGCTATGCAATCCCTGGTGACATGCAATAGATGGGATGTTATATAGAATATATATTTTACCTTACTGTCATGCTGTGCAAACAGGGAAATGAGAAAATGACCAAGCCACACAAGATGTACTTTATGATACTTAGTCCCAACGTGGGACTTGATCAGGGTTATTGGGCCTAGGTCTTTCATTGGTTGTAACTAAGACTACGTACAGTCCGATTCTAGGAATTTCATAGTGAGACATAATGAGAGCGGTAAAGAGGGAAGGGGCGATCAATAGGAGGAGAAAGAAAGGTGGCTTGGCTTCTGTGTGCTTTCCACCATTGGCAGTGGGGTGCCCGCCCCACCCTGTCTGCTCCTTAGCACTTCGGCCCCGTCCTTCCAACTGCCTTCTGCTCCCTTCTCCATAGGATTCCATTCCATGGGGCAGCAAACCCACAGAAAACAAGTCCCAAAGTCCGGAGCTTCCTGAGTGACTCGAGGAGCTGCCGGCGATTCTTGGAGACCTGGAAAGGTTGGCTGCTACTTAGGGAATTCTGAGTTAGCTAAAATCCTCTCACCTACTTGTCCTGACAAGAGGGATACCACACGGCTACCGCTGCAGTGCTGGTGGTGGTGGTGACTGTTTTAATTCTAAACTTTCAGGGAAACCATTGCCATATAGATTTCCTTAACACAGGCAAATTACAAGAATCTGAATATTAGCCCCTGAAGATGGAACATGCAAATATTAGGGAGTGACAGAAGCTGAGAAGAAGGAGATGAGGGTAACAATTCAGATGCTTATTCATTTCTGAAGTGACTGTACCAGTTTCCCCAGCTGGCACAGAATAGCAGACAGGGCCCACTCACTGAGCAAGGGGTGGAAAGGATACAAAATCTCACAGGACACAAAACACCTTACCTTCAGGTCCAAGTGGAGAATGTACATCTGGTGCATGTGCCTTATGCCCTCACATATCTGCTTCATGAACAGGATGGTATCAAGTTCCGTCAGATTGTCGTTCTCATCGATGATGCGGTCAAACAGCTCCCCACCGTCCACGCTGCAGAGGGAACAGGAGCGAAGCCCTCAGTCCTGATTTCCTAACCACCACGTGCTTTTCTTGTAGTGACTTGGCGTGCAAGTTCTGCTACCTCTTCTGAAAGGTGTATGTGCAGTTATTTCTCTGCCTTCTTTGCTGTCTTACTTAGATGATTCTTACCTTGAAGGCCTGTATTTTATATACCTTCAATCTCACAAATGGAAATCCTCAAGCCAACCCTCCATCTTTTGTGTGTGTGTGTGTTTTTTTTTGAGACGGAGTCTCACTCTGTCACTCAGGCTGGAGTGCAGTGGTGGGATCTTGGCTCACTGCAAGCTCTGCCTCCCAGATTCAAGCGATTCTCATGCCTCAGTCTCCCAAGTAGCTGGGATTAGAGGCACACGCCACCATGCCCAGCTAATTTTTGTATTTTTAGTAGAGATGGGGTTTCACCGTGTTGGTCAGGCTGGTTTCGAACTCCTGACCTCAAGTGACCCACCAGTCTTGGCCTCCCAAAGTGCTGGGATTACAGGCATGAGCCACCGCACCTGCCCTCAAAGCCCCTTTATCCAGTGTCTTCAGCTCTGGGGTGAGCCCACATGTATCATGTTCTAAAGATGCTGAAGAGAAAGAGGACCCTAAGAACTCTGGGAGGGGAACTCCAAGCCCTGAGTCAGGGTCTCAGCCTTCTAACTCTCCAGTGCTTCTGTGTGGCTGGTGCTAGACACAGTAATTTCCCTCATCCTCCGGGACACCTTCCAAGACCCTTCATGGATGCCTGAAACTGTGGATAGTACTGAACCCTGTATATACTATGTTATTTTCTATAGATACATAACTCTGATACAGTTTAATTCATAAATTAAGCACAGTAAGGGATTAACAACGATAACTAAGGGTAAAATAGAACAATGATGACAATATGCCAGCTGCACTATTCTTGTGCTTTGGGACCATTGTGAAGTAAAATGAGAGTTCCGTGAACACAAGCACTGCGATGCCTCCACAGTCGATCTGATGACCCAGTCGGCTACTAAGTGACTAACCGCAGGGAGTGGTGGAGACGCTGGACAAAGGGATGATTCACGTCCTGGGTGGGACCGAGCGGGATGGTGGGAGATTTCATCAGGCTACTCAGAACAGTGTGCAATTTAAAACCTGTTGATTGTTTACTTCTGGAATTTTCCACTTAATATTTTGGAGCCTAGGGTAACTGAGACCATAGAAAGTGAAAGTGTGGATAAGAGAGGACCATGAACCTATACTTTTTATTCAAAATGCCTGATTGCAGAATGAAAAACAAAACGGAATCACAATATCGATTCAGCGTTGGAATTGCAGTCGGCCCGGCCCTCCCTATTCGTGGATTCTGTTTCCACATGTTCAAACAATCGCAGATAAAAATGTTTGACCAAAAAACAATAAACATTGACAATACAACAACAAAAATAATACAAATTTTTTAAAAATACAGTATAACAACTGTATACGTGGCATTTACAGTTTATCAAGTATTATAAGTAGTCTAGAGATTATTTAAAGTACTCGGGGGGATGGGCATAGGTTATATGCAAAAGACTACACCATTTTATATCAGGAACTTGAGTGTCCTCTGGTTTTGGTATTTGCGGGGATCCTGGGACCCTTCAGATTCCAAGTAATGACTGTACTCGGTTTCTAACTAACCAGTCCTTATGTTTTTATAAAGGTGAGTTTAAATGGAAGCTTCTTAGCCCGAATCATCAACCGTTTTTGACATGTGAATACGGTGAAAGTAAGATATAGCTCAAAAACCACTTTCCTCCAGGTTGCCCTGGCTAGTATTTAAGCTTGATTTTGGACAAACAGATTAGATACAAAGCTAGATCTACTTGGTCCCGCTACTTCTTATCAATAAAATCCCGTATGGAGACGCGTAATCCCAAGTTGTTTCCCTTCGAGAACTGATGAGATTGTGTGATCCACGCGAATCAGAGTCTGCGGGGACAAGCTCGGTTCTGGCCCCGCTGCAGCAGGACAGAGCTACTGACGCACAGTCATGGTCATGAGTGAGTCAGGGAGGGGCAGAGGGGATACGCACTACTCCATGACCAGGACAATGTCGTCCTTAGACTCAAAGGCATCGTACAGCTGGATGAGGTTCGCGTGGTCCAGCTGGTTCATGACGCTGATCTCGTTCTTCACCTCCTCCTGAGAACCAGGAAACAGTGCATTAGTGTGGCCAAGACAGGGCAGGGAGAGAGGGGACCACCTCCCACAGGCTGTACCTTGTCCTTCATGCCTCTGGTCTTGATGATTTTGGCTGCCAGCTTCAGACCTGTGGCCGTCTCCTCACACTTGTGAACCTGGCCGAAACGCCCTCTGCCAAAAAAGAGGAAGCGGCGCAGCATGAGGCCCTGTGGTCAGCTGCCATGTAGACAGCACACAGTGGCCCCAGTATTTCTCCTGCTAAGTCTGGATGAGCAGCCCTATGAGGAGTTCTTTCCATAAGCTTCTAGAACAGTATTTGTCAAGGTGTGGTCTGTGGGTCACTTGCATCAGAATCACCTGGGAGCTGTTAAGAAAGCAGGTTTCAGCCAGGTGCGGTGGCTCACGCCTGTAATCCCAGCACTTTGGGAGGCCGAGGCGGGAGGATCATGCAGTTAGGAGTTCGAGACCAGCCTGGTCAACATAATGAAACCCTGTCTCTACTAAAAATACAAAAAATTAGCCAGATGTGGTGGCACGCGCCTGTAATCCCAGCTACTTGGGAGGTTGAGGCAGGAGAATTACGTGAACCCAGAAGGCAGAGGTTGCAGTGAGTGGAGATCGCGCCATTGCACTCCAGCCCAGGTGACAGTGCAAGACTCCATCTCAAAAAAAAAAAAAAAAAAAAATCCAGGATTCTGGGCCCTACCCCAGACCTCCTGAGGCAGGAATCCAGGGGTAGGCCCCAGAGACTACATTTCAGCACATTTCTTGGGTGATTCATATACACCCTAACATTTGAGAACCACTTTTACAGACAATGCAGAACCTTTCTAAATACATACGAATGTTAAAAGCTGGGCTTTGTCAGCATATGAACAAGAGAGCCCACCTTCAGATATATAAAATTATTTTTGAAAACTGCACATGTAACAGTACTGCATATATATCCATATAGTCAAGACTGCGTATTGCCCAGTCACCTATGAGCTTGAATATAATCGTAAGACAGCTTCTTACCTACATAATCACATACAGATGTGCACAGTTGCGAGCAGTTTTAAATCGAATTTGCTTACTTTGATTTCTTATTTAGTAAAATAAGCTAGAACACGTGTCCCTGCTCTGCAATGGTGGATGTCACAGTCGGGAGTGAGGAACAGCTTCCCTAGCAACACAGTGAACCTGAGGCAAGCCCTATGACAAGGCAGAGGACCTCAACGATGAAAGTCATGGCAACGCTGGACAGATGCAGGAGCACTGACGGCCGCCACATCCCATCCTGGGGCTGCACACCCAGCACAGAGGCAGATGGATCTTGGAGAATGACACAGGATTATCACAAACATAGCCACGGGGTGACTTCAATTCCAATCTCTGTTCCAGATGGAGTCTCTATGGGAATACATGGATACAGGCCCAGGCACGTCTTAAGTGGCTGTTATGAAAATGTTTTGTTTTGTTTTTCCCTTCACTAGCAATGGCCCCAGAACCTCCTGAGCCAACAGTGGTGCCCATCACTGTCTGACTTCCCGGCTCCTTCAACCCTCTGACTCTTTCCCCTGATTTATTCTGCAAGGGCCCTGAAGGTTGAGGCCAACTCCCAGGATTCATGCTGGTTCAACACAGTGATAACCTTATGCTCATTGAACATGCCAAGCAGGGGTGATAGATACCCTCGAGGTCACAGGGCAGGAGATGAACCCCCAGGAAAATTCAGGGGCCTGCCCCTGTGGGCAGGTGTTTTGGGATCCAGTGATCCTTGGCATGTTGCAATATTTCTGCCAAAAGTAAAAGATAAGTTGCTGCATCTTGAACCTCCTACCACTAAAAAGGAGGTGCAGCACTTGGTGATGTCTGCATTTTGAAGGCATCCACGCACGTTTGATCATGCTCCTCTAACTTATTTGCTGAGTGAATTATGGCTGCCAATTTTGGTGAAGCCCATAACAAGCGCTGACGGGCAGCTGGTCTAGACTGCAGTACCAAAGAGAAGATCCCATGGTGCCCAAACAGACAGAAAGGAAGTTTCGAAGGAGCAATTGACAAACCTTGACCAGAAAAACAGCACAAATCCTGGGAATTCTTTCAAAACTTCTTCTGCAAATAACTATTCTCGGTTAGAGAAATACTTGCTGGCTTGCCACTGATGTCCCTGAAGACCCAAATACCTCAGGCTTCCATGGCACCAGTTCATGCTGTGGAATTCCTGTCTCTCCCTCAGCCCTTCCCCGCAGTCTCATGGGGCATTCTATGAGATCAGCCAGATGAGGAAAGCAAAGTCCAGGTGGTTCCATTCGGCGGAGGGCAAAGAAATACAGAGTGGGAAGAGGAAGAAGGGACTTCACGAATATCAATGACTCCCTGAAGACCACTTGCAGAAGCCTGAGCTGCAGTAGCAATGCATGCTTTCTTTGTGTTGGTGAGTACATTTTGTATGCACACGTGCAGATGTTCTGCCTTCCTCTTCCTATTTTACACAGACATGCTGATGGCAGCAAACGTTATAATTTAGACTTTGAGTTACAAGATATCATAGGGGGGTTGTGAAAGAAGTAGAAGAAAGAAAGAACACCCTCTCCCCACCCCCAGCATGAAGCTGGTCCCTGATGGACTTTAATTTTCTTTCTGGCTTTTTTTCTTTTTTCTTTTTTTTTTTTTTTTTGAGACAGAGTCTCACTCCATCACCAGGCTGGAGTGCAGGGGCCTGATCTCAGCTCACTGCAACCTCCGACTCCCTGGTTCAAGCGATTTTCCTGCCTCAGCCTCCTGAGTAGCTGGGGTTACAGGCATGTGCCACCACACTCAGCTAATTTTTGTATTTTCAATAGAGACGGAGTTTCACTATGTTGACCAGGATGGTCTCGAACTCCTGACCTCAAGTGATCTGCCCGCCTCGGTTTCCCAAAATGCTAGGATTACAGGCGTGAGTCACCACGCCCGGCCTTTAATCTTCCTTCTTTAGGGAGAGTGTGCATTTAAATGTCCCTACAATAAGTTATTTGCTGAGCAAAGTAATCAATTGAAATGGATAATAGTGGCCGGGCGCGGTGGCTCAAGCCTGTAGTCCCAGCACTTTGGGAGGCCGAGACGGGCGGATCACGAAGTCAGGAGATCGAGACCATCCTGGCTAACCCGGTGAAACCCCGTCTCTACTAAAAAATACAAAAAACTAGCCGGGTGAGCTGTAGTCCCAGCTACTCCGGAGGCTGAGGCAGGAGAATGGCATAAACCGGGGAGGCGGAGCTTGCAGTGAGCTGAGATCCGGCCACTGCACTCCAGCCTGGGCAACAGAGCGAGACTCCGTCTCAAAAAAAAAAAAAAAAAAAGAAATGGATAATAGTAATATAGTAACAACATAAATGAAAAACCAGCAGCAATGATAGAAAGACCTAATACAGGCCACAAGAACTACACGCTGTTGACTCATTTCTATGTTCTGTCTCCTGGAGGCTGCACTATGGCTTTGGACAGCTGGTCAACCTTCTGGTGACTCACAATGGGTTTTTCTTTCTTTTAGACATTACAACATGGGAAGTAAAGCAGATAATAAACGTGGAGTTTAGTCACCACATTAACCTTTCTGGCATCAGTGACAATTTTCAGAAATGGATACGGTTTCTTAAAATGTTTGTTTCTAACGTTTCTAGTTCTCAGGTCAAGACAGGCAGACATTTACGAAGTCATCTGGCCCCGTGTCTTTGCACACTCCTCTTTTGTTGAGAGAATGCTAATAATATTCAGCATGACTCACCCTCCTAGGATTTCTGTCTTGCTCACAGTATAGAAGCTGTTGACCGCTCCTTGCTTGGCTGTCACAATACGATGATCAAATGGGGCAGGAGGAGCCGGGATGTCAACTAGAAGGTGAGAGAAACAGAAGGGCCATCTGTCAAGCAGGCTGACCTCGTTAAGGCAGCAAGCCTGGGCCTCATAGTAAAAATGTGCTCATTTAATAATAAAATACAAGAAGCCATCTGTTTGATTCCTAATGATCCAGGGATATAAATTTCCACTTGAGATTATGAGCTGTGACTCATAAAGGTGATCCTGACACCTCTGAGAAACAGTGTCAGGGCGGCTCAATGGTTGTCCATACCATCTTCAAGATCACTTTTGGAAATGTTAAAATAGTTGAAAATTTCCAACCCAACACAGTCCAAACAGGTAATACTTCCAAGCCTGAGACCATTCAAATTCAAACGTGAGAAATTGTTTGATCCATTTTTAAATGTATTATTGATATAATCCATTATTTTAATTAAAGCAGAGAGAAAAAAGAAAAATGAAACATTTCTTCATGTTATTGAAATGCTTGATATTATATATTACTTTCCAAAATGTCTTGGACTTTATTTAAGACACATTTAAGGCACAAAGATGAATTTTTCCTGGCTGGCTGGAAATAAAACACCCAATAAAACCAGGTAAGTGTGTATTCAACAGTGATCAAATTTCTCCCACTTTCTCCCCTTCCACCTTAAGTGTTTAAACGCTCGTCCACATCAGCAACAGCTCTAACATACAGAATTGCTCAGGGATATTCCTCCCAGTATTCTTTTACCTTTCCATGACTACTGCTGTTAAAATTGGCTTGCCGTGAACCTGCTCATTCTCTGCTAATTCATTTATTAAGCAGCTACTGCATGCATACAATGAGAATACAAAGGGAGGTAAGTCAGTCACAGTTTTGCTTTCCAAAAAATCTATATTTATTTAACAAACGTTTCTTGAGCATTTACCTTGTTCCAGACACTCTGCCAAGTGTTAATATTTTTTTTAAATTCAGAATATAAATCTCTGGGAATCTGATTTGATATGGACATCACCTCTCACCGCGTAAATATGCTGAAAACTGAAGTCACGCGAGAAGCGTCTTGGTAACATTCACTGTTTCAGATTAATAAAAGAGGGAGTTAAATACACAAGCGGCATCGAAATGGCGTTCTATCTCCTGCGGGCTGTTAGACTAAATGAAATTTAGTCTGCAGTGCTTGCCGGAAAAGGTTAAAGAGCCTTAAAAGGCCGGTACAAAAGCCACTTCCTACCCAAACGGGTGGCGCCATCTTGCCCTCAGGTCTTCATCCCCGCGGGCTCCCGAGGCGGCCTTGGGAGCGCCTCCGCTTGCCTGTGTCTTCTGACACGTGGGTTCTCCCCCGTGCCCACTGCGTCTACCCTGCGCTTTCGCTGCCCTCGTTGGCCAGGCGCCCTCTGCCACTCTACGCTGACTGCTGCCCGGGCACTCGGGTCGGCATTCCAGAACATGGATCCTGCTGCGGAACCTCCCGGGATTCGTGGGGGTAGAAATGGCCCCTCTGCTGCTGACACTCCCGGAAAGTCAAGTCCAGTTGCAGCTCTCAAAGTTCCAAGAAGAACATAGTCAGATGGTGAAAATTCTTAGAACGAAGGCTTTTCTTAAAACAGTGTTTTGGTGCCGGGCGCGGTGGCTCCCGTCTGTAATCCCAGCACTTTGGGAGGCCGAGGCGGGTGGATCACGAGGTCAGGAGATCGCGACCAGCCTGGCGAACACGGTGAAGCCCCGTCTCTACTAAAAAGTATACAAAAAATGAGCCGGGCGTGGTGGCGGCGCCTGTAATTCCAGATACTCAGGAGGCTGAGGCAGGAGAAGGGCGGGAACCCGGGAGGCGGAGCTTGCAGCGAGCCAAGATGGCGCCACCGCACTCCAGCCTGGGCGACAGAGCGAGACTCCGTCTCAGAAAAAACACAAAAACAGTGTTTTGGTGAGGAGGACGTGAGCTCCGTGACAGAGGGGACCATTTCGGTGCTTGGAGAGGAAATGGAGCAGCATGCCCCCCATCGAGTCTA